CAAGGCTACAGTATTTGTGCACACTCAGGGTATTTGTTGAGCTGGATATACTGCTGGAGAAATGTAATTATTTAATATGTTGATGCTATTTTACATCAAACGTCTATCAATACGTCATTTTTTCTTTTTTTCTTTTAATAATTTCACAAATGTATAATCCTGTACATGAAACAGATCTTTCTTACTGACATGTAACACTAATTAGACCCTAACGGGGTATTATGTGTGAAACAATTTCCCCGTAGGGGATCAATAAAGTATATCTTCTTCTTCTTCTTCTTCTAAATAGCAATGTATAAGATTATAGTATACAGTATAGTGATATTTAAGCTCTACTAAATTGAAATAACTTTCGTCTATCTCTACCAATGAATAATTGTCACTGAAAAAACATTGTTGCACGCAGACAAGTGGGGACGATGAAGATAATGCCCCTCCTGCACCAGAGGACAAGAATCGATTAAAGGTAAAAATCAAACAATCAGCCAAGCAATCAACTGCAAATAGAAACACACAAAAACACTCACAGTATTCATATATCTACATATTTGTTTGCATCTTATTGACCTTTCTGCAGTCCTCCCAATGAACCAGCCTCCCTTCAAGTGCTGGTACATGTAAAAATACAAGCTTGACTGCTGCTATGACATAGTTGTTTAACATTGATGTGTCACTTTCTGTTATTGTGAGCAGCTTTCGTGACCACAGCCATCTCTTTCCCCAGTTGAAGCCATCCCTTCAGCGAGGGGGAAGTTCAGCTTCTTTACACAACAGCACTATGAGAAACACCATCTTCCAACTTATGATCCACACATTAGACCCTCTCGGAGACGGTGAGTACCATATCACCACAGCGATTGCCACAATGATTGCCTTTATAACTGCTCCTATATTGAGTGTCTGGAGACTACGTCCTTCTCATAGTAAAATGGATTAGCAAAGTGTCCCAAATGAAGGCAGCACTAAGTCCAGATTGATACTAAGCAGATAAATACCTACCACAGTCTAAGGAGGGATCCATTTGTACACCCACACTGAAATATGAAAAAGATTTGCTCAAGCTTTGGTCTTAGTCAATAGGGAGATTGTTTTACACATAATAGTTATTAAATGTTTAATGATTATTAAACCATGTCTATCATATGAGAGGCATACCAAAGTGAGATAACAAAGTAATCCAATCTGTTAACTATGATGTGGTGGTGGACTAGTTCTGTACAGTTTTCCCAGTGATTTTCCCCAATAGGTTTTCCTGATAGGTTAGTAAGGTTACTGTAGCTTTATAGTGCCTTGTGATATGGTGATCATACTCTCACAGCAATGTTCACATTTTCATGTTCTATGACTGGCTAAGGCAAGACCACATTGCTTTACCTTGTGTCCCAGTTTGCGTACCTGTGGCCCTGGCTCCTGGTTTGTTCTACTTTCAGGCCTCCAGGCAGCAAACACTTACAATTTACTCCAGCACTATAATCAGCTTTTGAATGATCCTATAAAATCTGGATCACAGCAAGCAGCCCCTGTATCAACCCATTCTTTGTATCTATGTTCTTAGAGATCACTAGTAACACGATGCATCAAAGCAACATTATAAATACCTGTGGCTTGCTTAACTTTTTTAAATAATGATGAGCTGCCAAAACTAAAAGACGCAAAGAATCAAATGCTTTGAAAGTAATATCAAAATGGATGTTTGCAGTTGCTTTCTGTCCTACCTTGTACTGCATGGTTGTCTATAGTTGTCTGCTCTTGATTATGCTTGCTTGAGGTGGGTGTATTTAATGTGAGACATTACATCAAAAGGAATGTATCCAGTATGCATTCTTTTTGAAAAATGCATACTGGAAACAAATCGCTGTTTCTAATAGAGAGGTAGTGGAATTGATCCACTTGTCTTGTGCAGCTCAGTGTCTCTCTTTCTTCCTTTCATGACATTTATCTGTGCTGCAGTAAGGATTATGATGCTGCTGTTGTTTTTGATGTTATATTGCCAATATTTAGCTCTTCTCATGAATGATGTGGCTGCTTAATTTGTCACCAATGTAAGTGTTAAATTGTGGAATTATTGTAATTGTTATCACACGATAATAATTCATCACAGATTTTTGAGTTTATTTTTGCTTGTTTGATTGTAGGAAAATTTAAGGATAAGGCTGAGACTCTGAATAATGTGGCTAGACGGGCAGCAGAAACACAAACCCAAGACAAAAGTGAAGGTAAAATGGAAGGATGTGATGGTCATCCATTGATCAGGCGCCTTTCATTAAGCTTTCAGTCTCTGCTCATGTACAGAGTCTGAAAGTTGCTCATCATCTGGGCTGCAAAGCTTTGTTTCACATTAAAACCATACACCCAAAATGCTTCAGTGTGTGAACTGAATGAGTCAAACCGTCCACCATAAGAAAACTTTATTGCAGCCAAAGGAAAAATGTGTCTTTAGCATCATTTTTGCTGCTTTGCAGTCAAATATGATGTGTGTACATAGTGTATATAAAACATATAAAAGACAGTGAGTTCATTCAGTTCAGTTGCCATGAGGATGACCTCATGTATGATGTAAGTCATAAAAAACACATTCACTGGATTTCCCTACATGACCAGGCCTAAAGCTTTTACAAAATGAAATGGGAGTTCCTTTAGATAGCAGAATGAGTTTGAAGCATGGGGGGGAATGCACAAGATTTTTGGGATTCCTTTCACAGATGATGGGGGGAAAACTGAGCAGACCAAAGAGCCAGAGGCCACCCCAGCGAAAGAAACAGAGAAGAAAGAGCAGCCAGAGGACAAGAAGGTACTCTCCAAGCATGTCCTGGTGGTTTTCAAAAAACCCAGAAGTGAATCTTTGATACCTGTCTATGTAAGAGTCAGAGCTACAGTACTTTAGGCAAATGGCCTCTTTAGGCTTCTTTGGTATTTTCTTTTGCTATTTCTCTTTCACTTCTACTGTTACATTATGATGTCTTTCCCCAACGCTTCAGGATGATGTACCTGCAGGAGAGAATGGGTCAGGAGGGTCAGAAGATGATGGCAGTGATGAAGATGACAGCGATGAAGACAGTGATGAGTCAAGTGAAGATGAAGATGATGATGAAGATGATGATGAAGATGAAGATGATGATGATGATGATGATGATGATGATGAAGATGTCAGTCTGTTGTGTGAAATCTTCCTTCCTGTTAAA